AAGTCCGGAGAGGTGAATCATCGTTTGATAAATACAAAGGAATAACCAAATATGTATTTCATGAGTTAGAGAAAGCTAGGAAAATTCACAAAATTATTAGGGTATCTCACTTAAAATATTGGGGTATGAAAAAATATTTAGAATTAGACGATAACTCTTTTAAATTTAAAGCATCAAAAAGTTGGTGTGATAAGTTTAAACTAGATTACAGGATCTCGAGCCGAAAAATCACTAAATTAATTAGTAAAAGGGAAGTAAAATCACAAGACCAGATTTTAGAATCTGCAAAAAAATTCCAAACGGATATAAGAAGAATTTCTTCTCAATTTGACAGTAACCATGTTTTTAATACCGATCAATGCGGTTTTGCTTATGAAATTACCTCAGCACGAACGTACACATTCAAGGGCCAAAAATCTGTTTACGGTTATGCACAGTCCCCCAATAATCTGTCAACTCATTCTTATACCGTCCAGTATTTAATTAATTTAGCTGGGCAAATAGTCGGAACGTTTTCGTATGCCTCCAGGAGCCCGGTGGGAAATTTGGTCCACTTGTTAAGCAAGATCTTGAGTCATATCTCCCAAGTAATGTTACCTTAACGTGTAGTACTTCAGGTAAATTGTCAACTTCATTAACGGAATATTTTTTGGAAAAACAAGTTGTTCCCCACGTGACCAAAGACTTCTTGTATATAGTAGATAGTTGGCCAGGACAAACAAATATAGACACATACAGCAAATTTTTTGGTCAAGGTAATGACATGCCTGAAATAACATTAAAAGTAATTCCCGAGAAGTGTACACCCCTAGCTCAGCCATTAGACACGACTTTTCACAGGCAATTGAAAGGTTTGGCTCGAGAAATTTTGGCTCAACTGGAAATTTGTGTTAACGTGGAAGGAGTACACCGTGATGACAATTGGAACCCACGAAAAGGTGTTATTAAGTTAAATTCATTATTGCATTTTTTTCTTTCGGCCCCTATTTTTACTCCCATGATTAAATATTCATGGTTCTCAAGTGGCTTGTCTGACGAAAAAGTAGAATTCCTAAATGTAAAGCAGGTTTGTTTTACATTCGATGATGATGAGGGTAAACTATGGTTGACTGTACTAACCAGCGATTTATAAAGTGTTCACACTGTCGAAAACGAGTATGCATATTTGATTTGTGGATTACGAATCATTATTACTTTTGTGAGGCTTCCCCCTTTAAATCGTAAGGGCTTGGTGTGGAAATTTATTCGACTGATTAGAATTACTCAACATAATTGTTATTTCATGATTTATATATTGTAACAAATATATTTAAAATGGTCTGCTTGAAATCTAAGGTAGATTTATGTAATTTATCTTTATTTAATTTTATTATTTAAGGATGATTAGAACATTTCTTGTTTGATTAATTAAATTTAAAATATTTCGTGGAAATTGAAATAAAATGTATCTCTTGGACGCAGCACAAACTAATAAAACACATACATTCTTATAAAAATTACAAAAATATGACACATCGTAACTCTAAAATGAGAATCACTTGACCCAGAGTAAAGAATCAAAAACAATGGAAGCATATACATATAGTACATACATATGTACATATGTACATACATACATACATATGTACATATGTACATACATACATACATATGTACATATGTATGCACATATGTATGAAATGTATGTACATGTATGCATGAATGCACAAAGAATTCTAAATTATGGTATTGGCATACATTTCATTATAATAAAATTTGGCATAATTTAAACTTGCTAAGAGCCATTAATTTGACTTCCACGTGACATGACCTAATTTTCACTCATATTCTGGTTTAACCAAGATGTTTCAAAAATGCAAGATGTAACATATTTTTTATTAAATAGTCTGCTGCCAGACACAAGGTGTATTTGTATTTCTGTTTGGTTGGAATTGCTTTCCCCACTTATTTCAAGTACTTGCTTGAAATACCTTGAGAGAAATGTAATTAAATAAGATTAAGAATTAACATTAAGATTTCTTGTCCCACAGTTTGGAAATGAACTACTATTAACTCTTGCCCCAAAGTAATTTTTTGCCCGCTAAATGTCAAGCCAAACCACTTAATAATAAGACAGGTCACATAATTAAAATCAAGTATAACTACATATTAGCAATAATATTAACATTAATATAAATATTAATCAATGATCAATTCTTTGTAGGACTTTTGTGACCCCTGGTTCCCTTCTTTCTCCGGGTATCTACTTAATGAATTGAAGATAGTAATGGTAATTTTTATTAGTTGCCGTACACAAGGACGGCATTATTACTCAGTAAAAACATGGCACATACTAAGGAGGGGAGCTTGCGAGGTTGATAATAACAGATATTGGTGCCCTTTGGATATGTGGTAGGGACCCATGAGTGTACTAAAACCCTGAAGTAGTTTGACTCCATGGCCACATTTGCGCCCGCCACACCCACTCAAAAATGTCCAAAAAACGCTTTCACCCCAGTTTTCACTCACTCAAATCCACGTCAAAAATCCAATTTTACTCGGATTTTGAAATTTCTTTCACCATTATACTCCCAGATAGTTGCTTTCTTCAATCCAATATCAAACTCAATTTTATTGATGATTATTTCGCAAACATAATTTGTTTTGTTGATGACTACAACAATGCTCATTCAGAATTTTAAATTTTAAAAATACTAAAAATTTCGAAAAAATTGAGTTTGATATTGGATTGAAGAAAGCAACTATCTGGGAGTATAATGGTGAAAGAAATTTCAAAATCCGAGTAAAATTGGATTTTTGGCGTGGATTTGAGTGAGTGAAAACTGGGGTGAAAGCGTTTTTTGGACATTTTTGAGTGGGTGTGGCGGGCGCAAATGTGGCCATGGAGTCAAACTACTTCAGGGTTTTAGTACACTCATGGGTCCCTACCACATATCCAAAGGGCACCAATATCTGTTATTATCAACCTCGCAAGCTCCCCTCCTAAGCTGCATGCATTTATTGAAGCAGTTAAATTATCTAGAATTGACTGTTGAATTTATATCTAAAACCCTTATAGAAACAAATAATTCCATGAAACCCAATTAAAACCCAGGCTGGGTCAGGCAGACGAACTGTTGCAGCGTATACTAATTGTTTTACATTTCATCACTAGAATCGATTTTATCATTGTCTTACTTTGACCAAAACACACTTCCGACGACGCGGGAATACAAATTTTTACTCATTTCATCTACGGATTGAATTTCAGTAAAAGTCTCATTTTGCCCCCGACCACACCCCCTGACATCGAGGGGGTGTGGCCGTCACTCCTCGGTATTAATTTATGCTACCATACGGTGAAAGCAGAATTGAAAACTATTGACCAGCTTATAACCTTTTTTTGATTTTATTGTTTTCAGTATAACCACACCCCCTGAGTTGAGGGGGTGTGGAAGATAGGTCACGTAATGCTGCTTATGATTCAGGCCACCATGGGGTACAGTCCATGTGAGAAGAAGAAACTTAATTTCAAAAATGTATTTGACCACACCCACTGGCGCTAAGGGGTGTGGTCCGATTGACCCCACGATCGAACTTGCCCACCCCCGAAAAATTAGATGTCGATGTCCAAAAACAGATTTCAAAAATATTAACCCGTTCTAGAGATGTTTCATATACGTCAAATATATGGCATAGAACACCAAACACCTCAGATAGAAGTGCACATCTAAGGAAAAAATTCGAAACTTTCGAAATTAATTTCTCAGCTGTTTATGGTTATGGAGTCAAAACGTTCAAGGGTTTTGATACACTCATGTCAAACTATCATTGGTAAAAATTTGGAGGCGATCTGTTATTATCAACCTCGCAAGCTCCCCTCCTAAGCAGTTGTTTGTATTAATATTGCGATTTTTGAAGACCCGTAATAAATCTACAATGGACGATAAAATAATAATTTCGGACCTGGTACTAAATTTGTAATATGGACAGGAAGAATTTTTTCATGAATATTTAGAGCTGGATTTGTAATAGTGTGAGATTTTTAAACTCTATGTATTACAACGCAATTCAACCTATTAAAACCTACATAAAACCCTTGACATGTTATTTTTTTAGAATTACCCTGTTCTTTACCTAACTTTGATTGGATTAAATATTTGACTAATTAAACTGACCCGGTAATACAGTTAGTGAAAGAAGAGAGGTTTCGTCTTAATTAAAATGAATTTAATTAGGTATGGTAAGGAACTATTACTAAATACACGATATTAGGTCTCCATTCCATTGAGATATGTACATACATAAGTACTTCTTGGTATTATTTCAGTACTGGATTTCTAAGAGTGTAGAATGCACGGTGGTTTTTGAAAATTCAGTTAATACTGTTGTTGAGGCTGTAGAAGATGCCAGATCCTACACAATTAAAAATACTCGTACGGAAACTGGAATGGGTCTGGCTCTAATTATTTATTTACATTCGTTTGGAGGGTTTGTCACCCATATGCATATATCTATGGTACATCTATTAAAAATGCGTCATTTTTTCTACAAGATTATCTCGTGCATGCTGTAATTCTTATAAATTTTGAGTTTAAGCCGTTCCTGCAATTCTTTACATATTTTCAAAACTAAAAACGTTTTGAAAACTTTGCTCCGTTAACACGCACCAGGCATGTCGATAGGAAAATCAATGAAATATGTAGTATAGATATTTATATAATAAAATGACGCGTTTTTAAATAGATAAACCATAGAGACTACATTTTCTCCGGGGATGATGACTCCAAATTATTTAGAGTGTACACACTCAATGCAGTGGTTTGTACATATGCTCTGCTGCGTAAATTTGCATAAATACGGTTTGTACAGTAGCGGTTTGAGTTACATGAATAGATTTTGAGGATTCGTCGCGAAATGTAACAAAGTGCTGAGCGATTTTAGCATGAAGTTCCAATTAGTGTGCCGGAACTCTGTATGAATGCATATGCGATGGAAAAATAAAAGCCCAGTAGAACGGATTTAATTTGAAGATTAACGCAATTAAAATGCGAATTTTATGTTTAATTGGTTTTACAGGTTAAACAATAAACCCTCCAAACGGATATAAAAAAGTAGCGTCAGAGTTTCCTTTAAAATTTCTTTTAAAGTTTCCTTTAAAATTATCCCATATCCCGTGACAATTATGTATCCCTTGACGCCGGACCTTGATCTCAAGGTCATGAGGTCAAAAATATTAACTTCCTTGAAATCGCCGTAAAATTTCCTTTAAAATGACACCCCATCTGACAATTTTACATTTTTTGACCTCTGACCTCGTCGTCAAGGTCATGAGGTCAAAACTATTAACATATTTGAAATCTCCGTCAAATTTCCTTTGAGATGACACCCCACATGAGAATTAACGTACAATTTAATTTCGACCACACCCCCTGGCGCCGTTGGGTGTGGTCCGATTGACCCAATTTTCGAAATCAACCGAGAACTAAAAATTAGAAGCACAATGGCGAAAACTGGGTTTGATTATGTTTACTCGTTCTGGAGATATCCTGCTTACGGACAAACGGACGAACAGACGGACGGACAAAACGATCACAATAAGTAGCTTACGCTACTTAATCATTTATTGTTGTTCGACCATCAAATTCCTGTAGTAACGCTTACAATGGCGATATGTAAAGTAGTTATCGCCGATTTTGACCCAGCAAATTTGAATTATTCACGCTCAGAAGTAAGGGGACATCAATTTTAGTATGTTACTGAATGTGCTTGTTTACTCCCGTGGTGATATTTTCAAACAAAAAATTCGGATTTTTTAAAGCGTTGTAACTTTTCGAATGTTAATCCAATCACAGCAATTAAGCCCAATTTTTGCAGAATTACTTCTCTCACATTATTAAAATTCATTATTATTTTTTAAATATAATATTTTAATGCTATTTCTGAATTTTCAAAAATGTAAGAGTAGATAATAGTTTGAAAATTAAAAGCGAAAAAATAAATTTTCATTAATCTCGGGGAACAAAGTATTTAATTCTGCGAAAAATTGTGTTTATTTTTTAATACTCAAAAATGCTTATTGAAAATTCTAATTTTAGCTGCTTTTGTTTAAAAATTTGGCAACGAGCGATTTAAAAAGTTAAACGATTTTTAATTAGTGCTGTCTTTGTACATACATACATGGGTGATAACCACCTCACACGTCTGAAGATTATGTATGTAGTTGGATAATTCTGACATGGTCACTTTGGACGCGACCCTGCTGGGCATTTTGTTGGATCTTGCTTACAGCTGATTTCATTCGCCATTATCCACCACCAAAACGCTCTATTTTGGTTCTCCACGTTGTTGTAAGGTGGGTAACGCGGGGGGTTTGGGTTCCACCCCCATACCGCTGTCTGTCCTGGCGGGTAACTGAGAAACAAACCAGGATGAAATATTTACACACAGAAACACAGAAGCAGCAAGACAAAAAAGATTTGTGGAATCCCACGTAAGAAAAATGTGGAACGTTACAATATATGTACATAATTTCGAAAACATTAATAAACATTGTTCTTGATATTCAAATTTTTGAATTTTCGGGGTAGCATACTCAAAATAACAACTTACCATCCTCCGTAAATCATGAGAGGATAGTTGCCCTGACGAGGGCGTCGTTTACCCGGTGTTGCCCGTAACTTTAATTCTTCTTGGTGTCGGAAAATCCCGAAATTTGTCGGTGGATTTGGAATTGAAGATGCGGGGTGTTCAACGTCTATGTTCGAATCGGATGTTATCGGGACAGAGAAACCTATTGAAGTTGATGACAGGATAAGTCCTGTAGTAATCTGTTTGATGAACAAAAACTTAAGAGAATTTGGTATTATAGATGAGCAAAACTGACAATGTGTAGACATAAACTGTTTTTTCTCCGACTTTGACCAGACTAATTGAAATTTTTTCGCACATAAATATGCGGATCTTTATTTTTGAGTTTTTTTAATGTGCAATTTTCCAGAATTTTTTAATTTTCTGAGAAAATCAGAAGTTTCTGGAACGCTGGAACTTTTCTAATTTTAACCCAATGCCTTTTAAAACCTGGCGTACCAAGAACTAGATAATTCCATTAACTTATATAAATATGTACATTCGTTTCTAAAAACGTAACAATATGTTCACATGAAACTATGTACTTTTTTTTAGAAAAAAATATTAAATATCTAATCCGATGATAAAGAGTCAAGTTTACCAGAAACATTTTGGTGAACGGACTCCTTAAAAAATTTCCCATTCTTTTACAATTCAATTTAATACACTTGTCAATTTGGTTGGAACAATGAGACTGAAAATGCTAAACAAAAATTAAAGTTCTCGACGTTTTTAACGGGTAAAATTACTTGTTTATAATTTCATTAAGGTGATTGAAGTTAACGGCCAACGGGAAATACAATGTATTTATTAGGTCAAGTGCACATATTTACATATTTATGCGTTTCTTTAATTGGTCATTACAATATTTAATACCCGAGGTACACATACACACCTTGCTTAAAGTTGCAAAGTGGTGCATGGTCTGAATTTTGAGTACCCGAGGGATGCTCGAGGACCAATTTAAGTACATATTTAGTTAAATTGCTTTGTACCTTGTACCACATGTCTGACTAGACGATGTGTTTTACATAAGTCTGCTACCGGCCATCCAAACATTACGTCATCAAAAGGTCTCTATTTTAGCACCCACCTGCCCAACGTAAACGTTAAAGGATAGGGAAATTTAACATGGCCAATACCTAAATCACCCATTCATTGAAATGATGACGTAATATATGGACGTTCCCCGAATGCGTTAAGAACTAGTTTGATGAAAGGCAAGATTCGCGATAAACATTGAAAAACGGGTTTGATTTCAATCAATGAATTATTAAACTGCTCAAGTTTTTATATCTCTGCAATTTTCGTTGTTTGAACACTTACTTCGAACCGGGAGTTACATAAATAATGGTTGACAATAAAAAGAAAAATTTCCATACATTGTTTATCTTGAAATACACTGTACTAATCTTGGGACAGGTGCATTCCAACTTGAAAAAATCCGTTGGGTGTCCCACATTTTATAATTACGCTGATACCAATGTACTCAACTTTTTGTATATGTACATATGTACATACAAATATACCTTGATGTAAATTGATGTAAATAAGTTGTTAAATATTCTATGTCTCATTTCTCAAAATTTCCCACTTGTTCAAACGTCCCACTCCAAAAATCCTTCCAGATTTTTCCCCCTTCTCTTTTGTGTGTGTGTGAGTTTTTTTAGTAAGTATGTAAGTAGCTGTTGCACAGTCAACAAGTCAAGTTTGAATGAGAGCAGTCATCTTTGTATGAATTTGCAATAAGTAAAATTTAAGTAATTAATTCCAATCACCATTTGTCAGTTAAGTTTGAGAGTTATTGTCAAGGTTAATAAATTGTATAGTTTATTAATTAAACATTGAGGTTTGATTCAACCTTTTAGTTTTTGCACACACGTATTTCTCATCACGGTCTTCGACACGATTTTAAGATAGGGTACTTTCTCGGGTAGAGTCTGCTATTCTGCATAAGTACTCTACTCTGGGATACAATTTATACTTCCAACGAATAATAAATGTCATTTTTCTTTTGAATATGCCTTGATAAAACACGGGGCTAGATGATAATGTCAATTTTAAGACTTTGTACTACCACGGATGACGGACCTTGTTTCGATTTGAAGTCTCATGAAAATAATAACCACCACCATTTTTATCAACACAAACAAAACTGACCGACTGACTGAAGTTTTCCTGAGATTTCGTTGTTTTTCTTTGTTTTTTGCTGGTGTTTTGGTGTTTTTATGAGTTTTTGCGAGGTTATGGTTCAGCTTTCCTACGTGCTTGTGGGGTTTTCCCGTTTTTTTTCAAACACCTGGGAGCAGATTGACACAAGATATTTTAATATAAAACGCAGCGGCGCGTTAAAATCGCTCGGCGGCCTTGCGGCGTACAATCAGCGACGTTGACCTCTGTCGTATATCTGATTAGCTTTGGCACCCGATTTAACTACACTTATGTATCTTGCTTACGTTTTTTGTTTCCTGCATTTCTAAACTTATCCCGCAATAAATTAGAAATCCGTGCCAGAACCGATGCCAGCTTTAAATACGTTTCAACGACCATATGCCATTCATACTTGCCGCCCTCAATCATTAAAGATGCTAAAGCTAAACAAATCAGTACCCCACAAATCATAAAAACTGTGACGATCCTTCCATCAATCTTAATCGGCGAAACAACGCGTAGTGTATCGTTTGCAACGGGTTGTCTTCCCAGGTACGCGGTTCTCGCCATTTCCGTTTTCAATCTTGAATAAATTCCTGAATACACCAAGCTCTGGAAATTTCTGTGTACGTTAGAGATACCACTGGAGGTAGTACTTCCTCCAACCTCTGGGAATGTCCAGCCAACTTCTCCGCTTCCTTGAACTGTATTTCCTACATAAAATGTTTTCGATGGATAGTTCTTAGCAAGGAAAGCCATCTCAGCCAGTAGGTCTTCTAACAATGACACGAATACAGTTTTTTTCTCGCAGTTTGTGATATCTTTCTCGACCATGGCTTGTAACTCGGTTCTAGAGTAGTCACTTTTGCTTGGATTGAACCACGATGGGAGTGTGCCATGAATCGGGTTCAGAAGAAGCAAGAATACTACTAGCTCTCTGCCTAGGTCACGAGGGGTTGTAATTATGTTAAGTAAGATCGAATACAGGGCTACCATTTCAGAATCCAAAAATACGGTGCAACCCCATCGCCAATCTTTTCCCTGGGGTTAGAAAGAATACTATAACACGTGTCTGAAGCATAAATATTTGTAAAGTTTGGTGAGGACGCCCTATCTACTTTCCCCCAATATTCCATATAATTGTCGAAGTTAACACTATTGTTTAACCGCGTAATATTTACAGAAACATCCAGAATGTGGCGATTGCGACATATCAGATCTTCGAATGTTTGAGGCCGTACAGTATGCAGTGGCGCATTTAGCTCTGACACTAATAGCCCGCTGTAACAATTTGTCAACAAAACTGCTATCGGACCCCATACGACGAACATGATTCGGTAGAACAACTTCTTGTCAATAGACTTTGGAATCGAGGTAAAGTCGTCAAACAGTAGAGCAATGAAAGCTAACGAAACTGAGAACGAGGCTCGTCCAGTTTTCAAGAAGATATATGCGCAAAGGATAAACTGATAATCAAAACCCTCCATAACTTCTGTTTGAATGGTATCATATAAAAAATCAAAACTTATATGGTGTTCTGCATTATAACTAAGAAATTGAAAACCTGTGGCATACGTGACCTCCCAATGAGAATCAGGGACACCAAGCATGAAGGTATCCTCCACCAAGAAAATTGGATTTCCATCACTGAATAAATCTATGTTTCTAGTCAAGGAAACGGTCGCGTTTGTCTGTCCCATTACAATTACAGCCATGTAGAGTGGTATGGAAATGGAGGCATCACTGTGGAACGGGTTTATCCTTGGGGACGGCAATCTTTCCTTGCCCCACCTGCCCTCAAAGCTGTCTACGTAAAATACATTCCATCTTTTCGGTGGAGCCGCTAGTTTTTTGTAATCTAAAAAGATTCTTTTATCGTTTATAAATGTACAGGTGTAATCCTCCCTGGCATTTTGGAACAGTGTAATTCTTCTTACACATAACTGAACGCTTCGTTTGGATATTAACACAACGAACAAGTTGCTATATTTGTCTAGGAACATAGACAAAGCCTTTAACAGATCGTTCATGTTCAAAATTGTTGGGACAATTGGGTACACATTACTGAACGAAGCTATAAAATTCCACTGGTATCCAGAAAGTTGATTATGATCGAATTTTGAGCAAAGAAATCCGTAATGGTATTTGATGGATGCATCATTCCAAAGGGTCAAATTGGCCTGAACGTCTGGTGTTTTTTGCTGGCGGAATAATAGTTTTGAAATCCAGATGCTGATTTTGTTGGGACCAGGGCGACATCTCATAATGTCTAAAACATGTGAAAGGTCAGTGATTTTATTCTGTAGCAGCATCGGTGAATACATTGTCGTCGTAGGTACAACGCTGCTGTGGAGGAAGGAAAAGTAATTCGACGAAATACCATCGTGCAAAATCTGAAAGTCGAATCTGGGATGTTCAACACGTTTGATAAAATTATTTAGCAGGAGGAACCGATTTTCTGAAGTAACAGAGCCACACAAAATATCCGATGGGTACAATGAAATGCTAATTAGCAACGAACATGTATTTCACCCCTCAAGAATGGACGTTACATGTATTTTTTTCCCTTATGGCGATCCCCCTAAAGTGATTTTATTGGTTGGAGCTGCTTCTTCTCCGTGACGTCACTGGGCGGGTTGGCAGTTTCGGCTGCAACCGCACACAGCACAACCACCACCATTTTCTGCTTTTCGTAGTGCACTTTTCCTTCTCATCACAACAACAACTCTCTCAATGTCGGCCGATTGATTAATTAATTATTAAACGTATAATAAATTAACTAAGATTACACGTATCAATAATGCACCAAGATTAAACGTATCAATAATTAAAACATATCAATAATTAACGTAATTAATTAAATAATTAATTGAAATAAATCAATCAATCAATCAATAATTAACTAAGATTGCACGTACAAATAATTGTGATTCTTCATTTCAAGATAACACAATTAATTTGGTAAGATTCTTATTCATTTAAATCTCCGACTATACATGGTTACTTCTTCCAGCTTCTACATTTCAAGGTGGCACAATTAATTAGCAATATTTTTCCTCATTTCAAGGACGGGCCATTGATTAACACAAATTCTCATCGTGTCAACATCATATGTACAAATGATAAGGATTGTCTCCTAAGTAAAGGTTAGACGATTAATTTAGTAAGTTTTTTATTTCAACCTTCAAGATAAAACAATTAATTAACAATATTGTTCCTCGTTTCAAGGACGGTCCGTTAATTAGCAAGAGTTATCGTTTCAACAGTATACGTAAAAAGATAAGGATTCTTTCTCCACTCAAGGTAAGACGATTAATAATGCAGGATTATTTATTTCAAATTTCAATGTGACAATTAATTAACGATATTTTTCCTCACTTCAAGGACGGTCCGTTACTTAGAAAAGTTATCATCGTTTCAATAGTATACGTACAAACTACAACGATTCTTTCTCCACTCAAGGTAAGACGGTTAATTAAATAGGATCATTTATTTTAACATCCATTTGACAATTAAATAACAACATTCTTTTTC